TTTAGAACAGTAAAAGCTTTTTTACTGTAGTCGTAATGTTATATTGAGTCACGTTTATCATAAAACACTGATGAAAGCATATATTCCCCCACTTTATTAGTATTTAAATAGTATGTATTTACGTTGAACTTTATTCTTGAACAGATGGCCTTGTATTAAGCAGTATATAATCAGTATATCTGTAGCTCATGAAAACGTTTCTGAAACGTCTGTGTATTTGACAAATATTGCATTTAATTCACTTCATCTGTGATAGAGTATGCAAACACCGCGTGAGCGTCACTAACGGGAGCAGAAAGTGTCCGGCTTGACAGCTCCGTTTTCAACTCCGCCCCCGACTGCAAGCGGCTACTCTCGTTGATCGCCGTCTGTAGCCGTGCTTCAAGTCGAACGCACCTATAATGAACTCCCCCAGAAAGTTTGCTTTGGTCAGCTGTTTCGAACTGCCGAAACTAACTCAAAACGAACTTCGTTTCGGCCTGATTTTGTTCGAAATGACGTCATATCAGTTCGTTCTTCAATTTCGTTTGAAGTATATCTGTGCCTTTAGTATTGTTTTTTGTTTTTATTTTCTTTTTTATTAATATTCTTATGTTTGCTTCAGTATTTTATTTGCTATGACTGATATTTGATATAATTGCCTTGTGTTTTCAGTATTCAAAATGTTGCAATAAAAACACACACACACACTTTATATTTCTGACATCTGCTTGTCACAGCGAAGTCTAACAACATTTACACATTTTCAAACAGCCGTTCAGATTTTTTTCACCTCTCTGTAGAAAATCTGTCACATTGACGGCATTCAAAAGTTCTTGTCTGTCTGAACAGATGTATTAACTGCCATCATTCAAATAAAATGTTTATCGCACCAAACTTTCACACCAAACAGCCATCTTGGTTTGAATAGGCTTTAATAAATAGGGATTGTTTTAGTGTTGGTAGAATTGTGTCCAAATATTTCTATGCAGGCCTGAACTACAAAGAGTATGTGTGCAAATAAAATAAGACATGTTGGATGATTTACTCTGAGATTGAGAGTAGGAGAATCTCTGTTTAATGTCATCTCATGATTTCCGACACTGAACAGACGGGAAACAGGATATTAACAGTCTGAACTGCTCTAGAAATGAGCATTCATTTAGTACATAACATTTCTGTTTGTTTCATGGTGAGAACAACTTGTAAAGAATCAGATCCGACTTGTATGTTTCTTAGTGTCACTTACTGTAATACTCTGACACTCATATCACATTACAAGATGAGTGTGAGTCGTCCTCTTTTCTCAAATCTTCTCAGCCATTCTCCTTCTCTTGCTGTTTCTGTATATATTTCTCTTATCTCTTAAATACACAGACATGGATATGATTACAGTAATGGAGCAAATGAGTGTTTCACATTTAAAATAAAGAGGAACAGATTAAATGCAGTGTAGTGCAGATGCTGTATTAAATTCGCCATGGGCATCAGATATAGCACATCTTAAACAGCATTAAAATTTCAGAGCCTCAACCCACATGCTAATATACATATCTGAACAGAATTACTAATCCTCTCCAATGCTAAACAGACATACAGAATGTGTGTATGTAAACGTTTGGCTATTCTTGTAAGAAAATATCCTTACTATATAGTAAAACCAATTTGTAATGACATTTGAAATAGTCTTCACTACTTGAAAGGTTCATTAATCGTATTTTGAATCATATTCATGAAGCAAGTTTGATGAAATCAATAGGTTTGTGTGAGAGTTAGGGTATAGAGTGTAGTAAATATCATTATCTTAGAATGAATAGCTTCAGAGGTCTGTGTGTGCATGAATGCAAGGAAGAAAGTGTCTGTTTTTATTTTTAATATGTATTACTTATAAGAATTAATTTATGGAAAATTGCTATGATAAATCTTTTGATATGTGAGATTTAATCCATGCTTCTTTCTTTTTCTCGGCAGACATTTCTAGGCTTGGTTCCCCTGATTTTAGCGGCGTAAATAACTTCAGCACCTTCCTGTTGGACCGTGAGTCTGGGATGCTCTACCTTGGTGCGCGGGATGCAGTCATCGCTGTGGATACTGCTAATCTATCAAAGAGGAAGATGGTGAGCTCTCTTTTTTCTTGCAGTGAATGTTCCACTTTTCTTAATTGTCTATCTTTATTATTTATATAGTAACACTTTATGGTTACATTTGTTAACATAGTTAATTGCATTAATTATGAACTAACAATGAATTACAGCATTTATTAATCTAGAGAATGGAGTGCTGCAGGAATGGTTCCTAAAACCCAGAATTGTCTTAGTATTTCTGCATTTACGTTTCCACTGTCCCTATGTCAGTGATTTTTTTAAATGGGTTTTTTGGTTAAATCAATCAATCAATCAAGATATTTTCACATTTTATTCTATGATTCTATTCTATTCTAGGAAAACTACTTAATCTACTTACTAGTTTGCTGTTTTTCTCAAGCTGTATTTTATTGGGTTTATGCTCTCACTCTTGCAAACTAACTCAAACCTTCCAATCTGTAGATTTTAAATAAAGACCAAAAGAGTTGTCAGAAGCTTAATGGCAGTGATGTCATCAAAGTCAACCGTTTTGTAGTTTGTTTTAAAGCCTAACTTTAGCTTTTTACTTCTGTTGATTGTATTTAGGTTTCAAAATTAATGCAGACCTCTATTAATTTACATATATTAATCCTAACTAATTTGTTTCTAACATTTTAAGTTATAATCTAAAAGTATAAATTAATAGTACCTGTATTATGAACAAAAGTAAATGAATACATTTATAAATCTATTCATTGTTAGCTCATGATGCCTATGCATTCAATAATGTTAATAAATGTTAGCCTTATTGTCAAGTGTTACCATTTACGCTAATTGTAGAGGACAGCAGAGGCAACTGACCCTTCGCAAAAACCCGCTCCCCCTTCATTATTGTTGCTACATCCGACAAGCGATCCGCTCTCACGCCACACATCATGTTCTCACGCAGTGAAAAATTGACACTGACAATACACCGACAGACAAGACAGAGCAGGTTACTTTTGGTATGAAACAAAGCGTCAGCTTTCAAATTTCGTCTCTTTTTTTGTGTCTCTTTAATGTTTTGTAACGGATCGCTGTAGCGCCTCAGTTCAAGCAGCACATGAAACGATCATCTCTTTCTCTTTACTAGTTATAGCACACAATAATCGTGAATGAACATCAGAAGGTATCTTGTTTTAACCGCGGAAATATACTTCAATACACACCATTTATCAAGTTCAAGTCCACCGACGTTAATCTACTCTCCTGTCTGGTTTCTTTATCTGACAAAATGGAAGATTTAGCTTTATGATTGGTCAGATCAAATGATGAAATCAGTTAAATCATTACATAAAATGCTTTGTGCCACATAATAACATCCAATCTGCACACCAACACGCTCACATACAGTCATCATAACAGACAGCCAAACAGGTTTCAGTACACTGCTTCTCATCAAGCTAAACTAGATGATCTCATCTCTGGTTGCTAGTGCAGCTCTCTAACCAAATTAACCCTCCCCAACATCCCTCCCATTTCCCCCAGTAGCCACCTCTCACTGTCTCCTGTCATCAGAGTTAAAATTCATCACACACTGTAATGTGGCTTCACGTCCGTTTACCCTCAAGCACACATGAGTGTGTCAGAGCCCAGGACATGCTTGCAACGAACCTCCATCTGCACTATTCATTGTCTGGAAGCAAAATTACTTAGTGAAGTGTCATGTAATATTAGATATTAAGATTAAGGAGAGCTACTGTGAGAGCTACGGTGAGATCATTGCACTGATATCATGATAACGTATTTTCTGTACTTAAATGTACAGTCTTGTCCCTAGGCAAAGTGTTTTTAAATTTTTGGGGTTAGAATTTCTCTGTAAAATATTTTTAGCCCATTGAGAACATACACACATTATTTTAACCTCATTTCTATGTAAAGAATAATGTACAGACCACCAGTCAGTAAAATAAAAACCAAACAATTCACTAAGAAAAGATGATCGGGTCTTGTATCATCCTAAATGGGTGTAATTTTCCAAATAAAAAAATAATTAAATGGACTTGAAATATTGATTTGGTTTAAAATTATTTGATTATGTGAATAGAAAGACCACACGGTGCTGCGACAGATGTGGAAATACCAGTGTAGAATCTCAATATACAAAATTTTTACACAGCTCTATAGGAATACTTGATTCTGATTAATCAGTCACGGCATTCTGTGGTCAAATATTTTTGTATAGTGATTCTATTTATCTTTATAAACTGATTGTTTTCTCTGACAACCAGTCTCCATGTAATCTGGAATTTCTTCATGAGTGTAAAAGATTTCTGCACACAGATTTCGCTACAGGTTCTAGCTGGTCACACAAATGCCATGTTGACTAACAGAAAGTGGCTTGATTTTGAAAGTGACTTCTGGGTGAGCCGTGAATAGGTACTTTGACAATGAAGAATTAACCTTTTTACCTGCAAAATTTTGCCCAAATTTCACAAATGTGACTGCAACTTATAACAGTGGTTCTCAACCTTTTTGACTTGAATGCCTGCTGTAATCCAACATAATATTTGAATGAAAAAAAGAAATGTCAGTTTATATCTTCATGTTTTAGCATTTTAATTCAAATAAGAGTTATATTATTTTAAAATATTTATAATAATTGAATAATTTAAATACGTTTAAGTTATCCTGCAGCCCTGTTAAAAAATCACTGGTGTATAAGACCAGGGCCGGAGTGGGACTCATTTTCAGCCCTGGAGTTTCATGCCTTAGACCGGCCCACTTTGGGTTTTTTGTTTGTTTGTTTGTTTGTTTTCACTGGCCTTTTCAGTGCCGCCTTTGCGCTTTTATGCATTTTTTATCTATTATTTTTTGCTCGCATATCTCCAACAAATACTTTTTTTTTCTTTTTCTTTTTTTTTTTAGCAAGCTGCCGCTGTCAGTGGAGTCAAAAGATAATTACATCATCATTGCCAATTAACATACTGAGTAAATTGTACCATTATAGAATTGTGACTTCACACGTGTAATTGAGGAGGTGAAAATACTGTGAAATTACAAATGGCATTGAAACGTCAGTCAATCAAGCATTTTTTTTTAAACAATGGCACTCAAAGTTTTGATCTGAAATATTATTGCAACTATATAATATTGTTTATCACTTTAAACAACAGAGAGTAATAGAGATTTTACAGAAAAACAAAGCTACACGAAGCTACAATCACAAACCAGCCGACCAACCATCTGTATGGTATTATTTTGATGTCGGTCTACACACGCAAGCAAAGCCAAAACCTAGATATTTTAGGCAATATAGAAATCCTGGCCAGGACGCGTCCTGGGAAAATGGCACGTATGGTCACCCTATGCTATGAGTGCAGGCAGCCTAGGAACAGCCATAGTTCAACCCAGTGGCATGACAACACCGGCCCTCACGGCCAAAAAATAGGCCGGCCCACCGGGAATACTGCCGGTGCTCCCGATTAGCCAATCTGGGCCTGTATAAGACTATACTATACTCTCTTGAAGCCATGTTATAGCTTTGTCTGAGGAACATGCTGAAATTTGAGTCATCATTTACTGAGAATTCATACTTGTATGTCACATCAGGGGCGTAGATTACGCGGGGGACGCGGGGGACGTGTCCCCCCCACTTTTAATATCACGTAAATTCGTCCCCCGCACTTTTTCGGGCAAGTGTGTTCGCATAGAGGTTTTCAAGAGCCGGTGTGAATAAATATAGATTTAAATTCAAAGAGACAGGATAGTCTGTGCATGATCTGATGTTTTATTCGGACCCAGAATAAGCCGAGATGAACAGTGTATGTTTCATTCATACTCGAAGCCGGAGGCGCTCTCCGCGCAGAAAGTCATATGAGGAAATTCCTAATATGGAAAAATAACAAAGAGTGAAAAATTTAAGGGGGTCTGAATACTTTCCGTACCCACTGTATATAACATTTCTGTCCCCCTCACTTCTGAAATGATGGCTACGCCCCTGTGTCACATGTTTTTTTTTTGTGAGAACTGTCCCTTGAAATCTGTTGTTTAATGTTGTGTAAATGACCACAAATGTTATTTTCAGATTCTGGCTGAATGTATTAATATATTTGATCACTAAATAAGTAAATAACATTTACAGGTACTGAATACACATTTTAATGTGTTATAATCCTCTGTATTTAACTGGTCAAACATGTTTTACATATTAATGGCTGACATGGTTTCATTTTAACCTAACAATCTGAAGTACTGATTTCTCTCTCTCTCTCTCTCACTCTCTCTCTCTCTCTCTCTCTGTCTCTCTCTCTCTCTCTCAATATTTATGTAGATTGAGTCTTTGTCTCTTATATTGTAACATATAACTTAAAAGCTTTGGAAGTTGATATACTGTATATCTGTAAGATTTTTTTGTGTGTTTGAAAGAAGTCTCTCCACGGCTACAATTATTTGATCAACAATACAATAAAACAGTAATACTGTGAAATATTATTACAATTTAAAATAACTGCTTTCAATTTTAATACATTTTTAAATGTTTTTTTTTCCTATCATGGCAAAGCTGAATTTTCAGCTGCCATTACCAATGTCTTCAATGTCACATGGTCGTTCAGAAACCATTGTAATATGCTGGTTTTGGTCAATGTTGAAAACATTTGTGCTGCTTAATATTTTCTGAAAACCCAGAGAAACAGACATAACACAGAGAAAACTTGTATATGCTATTTGTCTCACAGTATGTCTTGCTTTACTCTGCTGCCCCTCACAGGACGATTGTAGGAACTACGTCCGTCTGCTGGAGTTTTTGGGCGATGGACACATATATGCCTGTGGGACTTTCGCCTTTGACCCCCAGTGTGCATTTATTGTAAGTCTCTGTGTTTCCATAACTACACTGACTCAAGTCTTGTCATATTATTAAGTAGGACAATTAAAAAGAAATGCTCAAAATAAGTACTTTATTGTCATTGTACATAGTACAACGGAATTCTGTCTGGTGAGTCTCAGTTAACAAACTAAAAAACAGCAACAACTTAGATCAACCAACAATAAATAACAAACAGGAACAGTTACAGCAAAATAAAGTGCAATTATGTCATTAGGTGTGTGTGCAAAGGGGTGTAATGGCGGTCACAGCTCTTGACAAGAAGCTGTTTCTCAGTCTGTTTGTGTGTGTTTTCATGGTCCTGTATCTCCACCCTGAGGGCAGGGGGACAAACAGTCTATGACCCGGGTGGGTGGAATCTACGGCAATGTTTCTGGCCTTCTTCTGGAGGCATTCTGCATACACCAAGTCCAGGTCTGGAAGTGGATTCCCGACAATCATTTGCGCGGTTTTAACCACCCGGGCCAAATCCTTTCTGTCCTGTGCTGTGCAGCTGGCATACCACACAGTCACACAGTAGCATGGGATGCTTCCTTTGGCACTCCTATAGAAATTTATCAGAAGCCAAGGGGAGAGTCCAGCCTGCTTCAACTTCCTGAGGAAGAAAAGTATTTATTGAGCTTTCTTTACCAGGTGGGAAGTGTTCAGAGCCCAGGTGAGGTCTGCTGTAATGTGGATACCTAGTAACTTCATGTTATCAACACCCTCCACTACTACCCCCTGTATGAGCAGTGGTGCATGTGCTCTTCTTACGGACCTTCTGAAGTCCACAATAACCTCTTTGGTTTTATTGGTGTTCAAAACCAGATTGTTTGCTGAACACCACAGGGCCAAGTGATGGTTCGCCTCTCTGTAGTGGATCTCATCATTGCTGCATGGGCTGGTGCTCTCTCTGACAGCGGTAGGTCGCAGCGCCACTTCCGGTGGCATCCCCAGATGCCACGGCACACTGGTCGTTTCTGGCAGCTGCCACTGTTTTTCTCACGATTTTTGCTGTTTGCTCGGTGAAAACTACACTGTTCTCAGTGTGCGGTGGTGTTTTTTTTAAAATGATGATGCAAAGTTCCCACAATTGTATTATTATTATTATTATTATTATACATTTTTATGTATCAGCTGCCAGAGTTCTTGCCAGGAGTCACAGGCAGCTGCCAGATTTCTCTCGCGCAGAAAGTGCAAGATGGGCTCATATAGAAGTAATAACTTACGACGTACCAGGAAATCCCTAATATGAACAAAAGCGTCCAGCTATCACTGTATGATCTGAATAAAAGGCAGAAACCTTTGGAAACGTGAAGACATTAAACACATGATTTTAACAATATATGGTTAATTTGTGCTTTTTAAAATCATCTCCAGGTAATAAATAAAGTATATGAACAATTCAGTGCTACTAGACATAGCATTTATTACAGTACAGAAACTATTCTGCCTTACTATGTTATAAAAAAAGAAAAAAAAAAAGTGTTTGTATTACATTAACAAATCATTTATTGGTTATTGTCCAACAGTGTATCTGATTTCTTAGCCAATTAAAAGAAAGAAATAAGAGAAAAAATAAAGTTTTCTGTATTCCTATATACAGTATGTATGTATATACACTGAACAAAATTAAAAACGCAACACTTTTGTTTTTGCCCCCATTTTTCATGAGCTGAACTCAAAGATCTAAGACTTTTTCTGTGTACACAAAAGGCCTATTTCTCTCAAATATTGTTCACAAATCTGTCTAAATCTGTGTTAGTGAGCACTTCTCCTTTGCCAAGACAATCCATCCACCTCACAGGTGTGGCATACCAAGATGCTGATTAGACAGCATGATCATTGCACAGGTGTGCCTTAGGCTGGGTTGTGTACACACACTGCCAACACACATTTCAGTTCAAACAACTTGTAAAAGTGCATGTAGCATCATATGACCCCTTTAAGGGAAAATTACACTTAAGGTGCTTTATGCAACTGGGCACAGAAACTATATATATATATATACGTGCGTACATACTGTCTATACAGCTAAGCACTCCTTATGTGTATGTTCTTTATGGGAAAATGCTTATGCAATTTAGCTTATTGGGTTCATATTCTGGTCGCATCTGCTTGCTGGTATATAATATGCGTCATCAAATATTTTATTTAAAAAATAAACAGTGTAGTTTACAGCAGAAACGGTGACAAACGATCGTGACTCCTGGCACGAACTCTGGCAGCTACCTGTGTCTCCTGGCATGAACTCTGGCAGCTGATACATAAAAATTTATAATAATAATGATAATAATAATAACAATAGATAAAAAATAATAAATAATAATAATAAATAAGTAAGAAAGACCGTGGCAGCAGCCAGAGGAAATCCGTGGCATCTGGGGATGCCACATGAAGTGGCGCTGCGACCTGCCGCTGCCAGGATTTACGCTTGCTCTCTCTCCATCATTGTCCGATATGAGACCCACTACAGTGATATTGTCTGCGAATTTAATTAACCTTTATTTAACCAGGTAAGTCAGTTGAGAACCATTTCTCATTTACAATGACGACCTGGCCAAGAGGCAGCATAAAAAGCAGGTACAATACAATAAAAAACATAAAGTTACAAATAACACAATTTTAAACAATAACATATAAAACAAACAGATAACTAAAAACAAGTACAATGGTCTTGTACTATTGACTGAATTAAATTTTTAAAGGAAGAGAGCGAGATAAATGAACTAAGCTTTAAAGTCTGTTGCAGATGATTCCAATCATATGCAACAGAAAACTGAAAAGAGCAACGACCAAAGGACGTACGGACTTTAGGTATGTAGAAATTAATGAAACTACTAGAGCGCAGATTACGACTTGTATTATGAATATTAAGAAGTGACTGTAAATATAATGGCGTTTTCCCGATAAGAGTTTTATAAATGAACAGAAACCAATGAATTTGTCTACGAGAATGAAGAGAAGACCAGTTCAATAAAGAGTACAAGTGGCAATGGTGAGTGTTAAATGAAGCTCCAGTCACAAAGCGGATTGCTGCATGGAATTTCACAGTGGTATTAGAGGGGTGCAGTCGTGTGTGAAGAGGGCTGAACTGAGCATGCATCCTTGTGGAGTACATGTGTTTAGAACAAGGGTAGACGATATGTTATCCGCTATTCTTACCACTTGTGGCCTGTTGGTTAGAAAGTCTCTGATCCATAAGCACAGTGAGGTGGGCAGACCTAAATTGTGGAGTTTCTGTTCCAGTTTGTGGAGGACTATTGTATTAAAAGCGGAGCTGAAGTCGACAAATAGCATCTTGACATATGTGTTTGACACCTCCAGATGGGAAAGGGCTGTGTGAAGTGCTATGGTGACTGCGTCCTCCGTAGATTGATTTCCCCAGTAGGTAAACTGGTAGCTGTCTAATTCAGGAGGTATAATGTTCTTACGGGGCAGTCATGGCCTGATGGTTAGAGAGTCGGACTTGTAACCCAAAGGCTCTGGTCCGGCAGGAATTGTAGGTGGGGGGAGTGAATGACCAGCGCTCTCTTCCACCCTCAATACCATGACTGAGGTGAGACCCTTGAGTAAGGCACCGAACCCCCAACTGCTATGGCTGCCCACTGCTCCGGGTGTGTGTTCACGGTGTGTGTGTGTGTGTGTGTTCACTGCTGTGTGTGTGCACTTGGATGGGTTAAATGCAGAGCACAAATTCCGAGTATGGGTCACCATACTTGGCCACACGTAACTTCACTTCACTTAATGTGCTGCAGAATAAGCCTCTCAAAACATTTCACAATGACAGTGGTCAGAGCCACTGGGCGAAAGTCACTGAGGCAGGTAACAGCTGACGTTTTAGACACGGGTACAATAATGGAAGATTTCAGGCAAACAGGGACAACACTGAGCTGCAGTGTGAGATTAAAAATGTCCTGAAACACTCTTGCAAGTTGGTCTGCACATAATTTCAGTGTCCGACCTGACATCCGGTCTGTCCCCTCAGTCAGAGAGAATTAAGAGAATGAATGATTGACTGTTTTCCACCTGTGGTATATGACTATAAGTGTGTCTCTCTATTATATTTTCTTCTTCATCTAATTTTTGCTAATTTCTTTATATTTAAGGACAGACAATAATCACATTTATTTGTCTTCTCTGCCTCATTTAGAACATCTCTTCATTCTCTCTGGAGAAACATGAAGATGGTAGCATGAAGATGGAGACGGGGAAGGGGAAATGCCCTTTTGAGCCCAGCCAGCATTACACAGCAGTCATGGCAGGTATGAAACACACGTTTACTCTAAATAAGGGTATACGTCTTGTGACATCTATTGTTTTTGTACATTGTAAAACTAATTATAAATGCTAACCAAAACCCAAACCCTCACCCTAAAAGAAAATTGCAATTGCTTAATGAAAAAAGTGTTTATAAATAATTTTTCTAGTTTAGGATTTGATGTTTTCTCTCCCCTAAATTTAAAAACACATAAACTTTTCTGTATATTTAGTTCAACATTAAAACATTATTTAGTGCCCTGTAATGTCCCCACTTTGTAACAATAGCTGACACACATACACCTTGTGTGTCGATTGTTGAGTTGAGTTGCTTTTATGATCTTTACAATTTGCGAGGCCTGGGGGCGGCTTATGTGGTGGTGCAGTAGTCTACCCCTTCAGATTGGAAGTGATCAGTGGACGCAACTGAAGCTGTGGCCTCCCTAATTCACTCTGCCCCTAGGGGCTAGCCTATAGATTTGGTCCAAGGACCATTCTGGTTGCGAGAGTATCCCTACCAGGTAAGTATTGAAGGGCATTTAGCTGCAGAATTTTTGTTCACTACATTTGCTTGAACAGTTGTCTTTTTGAACAGTTTATCTTTTATAGTATGCTGGCGGACCAGTTATATTATATGTTTGCCGTAGCTAATCAAAATTGGCAAAGGTGTTTCCATAGCATCAACACCATGACGCAGCATCTCGTTCCCTTCTCAGGGATCTGGGTTATATACTGTACATAAGCCTAAGACGTTTTCTTCTTAAGGGCTATTGACTGGTCCCCACAATGCGTGATTTTAGGGTGCCATCCTTGTGGGGACATTTGGCTCCCAAAATGTTTTAACACAAAACACATTGGAAACACAGAAATTACTTTAGTAAAATAATAATAATAATACAAATAAATAAAAATGTCTATTTTTCTGTTTTTTCTCTTTTCCTCCCTGTTTTTCTCTTTCAGGAGGGATCCTTTACACTGCTGCCACAAGTAACTTCCTTGGCACAATGTATGACATTTCCAGGGCAACAGGCACCGAGCAGGAACGCATCCGCACTGAACAATCAATCAACTGGCTTAGTGGTAAGACACTCATCCATCCATTCATCCAGACACAGGCATTTACACATTAAAGCCAACATTTAATGTGTATTTACACCCAGATTGTTTATAACCACACTCTTCATAACTCTTGCCTGTTTCTGAACTCAGATCCAGAGTTTGTCAGTTCTGCCTTCATCCAAGAGGATGAGAAGCACAATCCTACTGGTGAAGATGACAAAATGTACTTTTTCTTCACTGAAGTAGCTAAAGAATATGACCTTTACACCAAGATTAAAGTGCCACGAGTTGCTAGAGTCTGCAAGGTAGGAACTAGAGCTGGTCTGTTTTCTTGTCTAGTCTCTATAGGTTTTTTAAGGTTTGGCTTCACACTTGCCCGAAAAAGTGCGGGGGACGAATTTACGTGATATTAAAAGTGGGGGGGACACGTCCCCCGCGTCCCCCACGTAATCTACACCCCTGGCTTGATTTATATTTATTAGTCTAAGAGGGATGTTGTACAGTAGTTCTGCTTTCAGCTGATATGTTATGTAATTGTACTGTTCCACTTGAGTTCAGATTTCTTCAGTCATAAAGTTCTTCTATTCTTTGCCATCCGTCTGTTTTTCATCATTTATTTTCTATCATATCTGATCTATTTTGGTCTCTCTCTCTGTTTTCTAGTCTGATGTAGGTGGTATGAAGACCCTGCAGAGGCGGTGGACGACATTTCTGAAGGCCCAGCTGGTGTGTGAAGATCGAGCAAGTGGACAGCGATTTAACGTTCTGTCTGATGTGTTCACTGTACAGCACCAGCCTGGAGACCCCAGCAGCACACACTTCTATGGCATATTCACCTCACAGTGGTACTTTGTTCTGTTTCACCTCTGACCTGTCTTGACCTTCTGTGCTGGTCTCATCTCTTTTGATTTATTTCTTCGCTCTTTATTTCTCCATGATTGTTTTTTTATTTGTGTGTGTTTGTCCTGTTGTGTTGATGTGTAATGTGTAGGGAAAGAGAGGAGCTGTCAGCTGTGTGTGTGTACAGTCTGGAGGAGATAACTAAGGTGATGAATGGACCCTTTAAAGAGCTGAAAAAGACCTGTGAGAACTGGATTAACCCAGAGCCCATACCAACACCCCGACCAGGACAGGTATACAACTGCACACTCACGACCATACCATACCATATAATAGTATTATACAATAGATGCAATTCATGTGTTATTTTATTCACAGTACATTGAGACACATACTGTGCAATACTATTGTAGTCATTGGTACTGACCTTGGCAGTATGAGAACACTCCCAACAGGGGGCTGTTCAATCATTTAGTATTAATGTAAACTGGAGGGAGTTGGTCAACTGATTTATCTGAAAGATTGGTGAGATAATGTGAATTTGTAGAGCCCCTTACTGTATCATCAACGGATCCAAGTGCAGACAGATTTATTAAAGATAACCACAAGGTCTAAGAATATAAATGAGGGAACACAGAACAGGAGAAAACACAAAAAAATCCGGAGTACATATATGCAACGACTGAAAAACCAACTAGAGACAAGCAGGTCTTGTCTAGGATGATGTCTAGTGTTTTAAAATCTATTCAGGTCAAGTACATGTAGTGTATTCCAGCCTATATATTTACGTATTTGGCAGAAACTTTTAATCTAAAGTAATTAACAGCGAATACGCGGTGTATATATATATATATATATATACACTTCCGCTCAAAGGTTTGGGATCAGTAAGACTTGTAATGTTTTTTAAAGAAGTCTCTTATGTTCATCAAGGCTGCATTCATTTGATCAAAAATACAGAAAAAAAACAGTAATCTTGAAAAAAGTTATTACAATATAAAATAATGGTTTCTTTAAATTTTTATTCCTGTCTATATCCTGAAGGTTTTTACAGAGGGATTTGTTCATATATACTTTGCTTAATTATATACAACATTTTATTCCTCCCAAAACTGTGAAAATATAGTGTTTCTGTCCGTTCTAAGCATTTTCTGAATTATGGAGTGACAAAAATGAGATTTCCCTCTGTAAAAACTTTTGACTCTAATATGTCAAAAAATAAATAAACAAGAATTTTAAAACTGACATCATCCACTGTTTAAATTTTTGTACTAGAAATGTATGCAAATTAGCGCATATTTCATTAAATAATGACTCATTTGCACATTTAAACCTAACATTTTAGAAAACTTTTAATACAAAAAATGTTTGCAATTATCAATGTAATCAATCAGCTGGGATTTTCAGCATCATTACTCCAGTCTTCAGTGTCCATGATCCTTCAGAAATCATTCTAATATGCTGATTTATTACTAGAATTATCAATGTTGGCAACAGTTGTGCTGCCAAATTTTTTATTTTTTTGGAAACTGCTATACTTTTTCAGGATTCTTTGATGAATAAAAAGTTAAAAAGAACAGCATTTATTCAAAATATAAATCTTTTCTAACAATATAAATCTTTGCTATCACTTCGAATTTTAAAACTGACATCATCCACTGTTTAAATTTTTGTACTAGAAATGTATGCAAATTAGCGCATATTTCATTAAATAATGACTCATTTGCACATTTAAACCTAACATTTTAGAAAACTTTTAATACAAAAAATGTTTGCAATTATCAATGTAATCAATCAGCTGGGTAAGTAAGGCCATAACTATTAGTTTTTGTTTTTTTTACCCTATTCACCTGCAGTGTCTCGCCTTATGCATGTATGTACGTATGTATGCACAGTAGTATTAGTATATGTGTTTGCTGGGAAGCCAACCCATGACCTTAAAGTTACTAGCATCATGTTTCACTAACTATCATTACTTAAATCTGTTAAATTACTTCTTTCAAAACTCTCAGTGTTTGAATAGTGCTCTGAAGGAGCTGGGCTTTGAGTCCTCCTTGAAGCTGCCTGATAAAGTGCTGACATTCGTGCGTGATCACCCGCTTATGGAGAACAGTGTGGTGGCAGCACCCCTGATGATCAGAAATGGCATCACATATACTAAACTTGCTGTTACCTTACCAATGGCCTCCAGTGGCCTGAAGCAACACATGACCACTGTTTTGCACCTTGGAACAGGTAAGAGATATTAAACAGAAATAACTAAAAAACAATCATTTAATAATCATCAATAATCATTTAATCATCATGTGTGTTTAATATACGTGTGCATGTGTTGATAGATCATGGAGAGCTGCACAAAGTCGCTGTAGTTGGTCCGAATGCAACTCTCATTGAAGAAGTCCCTCTGTTTTCTGCACAGGAGCCAGTGAATAACATATTGCTATACAAAGTAATAACATACAGGTTTTTTTTGTTACTTAATGTGCTCTGTTTTTTATTATTATTTGTGATAAAAAACAATACTGTATCTTCAATCTGAATTAATACATTTGGCCTCCCTCCTAAATAATGTAACTTATATTTAGGGACTAGTGAATGCAGACCCTCTCTGTCTCTCTGCTGTAGGATGAGGCTCTGGTGGGCACTCCTCTCTCTCTGGTGAAGTTACCCATAGTGGATTGTTCTCTGTACTCTACCTGTGAGGTGTGTGCACCTGCCCGAGGACTTGGCTGCGTATGGAGGCATAAAGAGGGAGCTTGTGCTATAATGAAGTATGTCACATACAAACACTCATTCACACAAAAGCATATCAGAACACACAGATGCAGTCCTCCTTTGTTCATTGTCGTCACAGTTACATTTATGTTTCAGGCCTGGTAAAGTTGAAGAAGCAGAAGATTTGGTCAGGCAATGCACCAAAGGTGAAGGTAAGTCTGACAGTGGTACCTAATATCTATATTTCATACCTATGGCATGCTGTCGATCACCATAGACACTCATTTAATCTCTCAGTGTTTATAAATGAACTAGAAATAATCTTACAGTAAATACACCTACAGTCGATTCAGGTGAGCAGACTGAAAGGTTTAAAAGCAGAAAACTTGTTGAAAATTTACAAAATGTATTTTGAGTGTTTAAAATGGAAAAAGTATCTTATATTGTAATATTGGGTAGACAATGATTTGTTATTAACTGAATGCAAAGTAGATATTTTCCAGATAATACTTTTTCATAATTTGCTTTGGTTAGGGCTATAAATACAAGCAAGATGTACATGTACATATAACGCTGAAAATTCAGCTCTGCCATCATTTTAAAATTCATTAAAATATAAAACAGTTATACTTTTATACAGTCACAATTTTACTATTTTATTGGATTTTTGATCAAATATATGTAGACTTTCCTGTCATAAGTGGATCATTATATTGGGGGTCCTTGGCATTTACATTTTTTGATTGAAAATGAATTGCGAGCTAATGAATTGTGATCTATTTTTCCTCTGTGTCTTTAGGTCTTTGCTCCCCACCTGTAATTGAAATGCGTGTTGAAAAGGGTCTGCGTGTCCTGCTTTCTTGCGTGCAAGTGTCTCCTCGTCCCTGCCGCTGGGACCATCCTCCACATAGTCACACTCGCCGCCACAACTACGACCTGGAGGTGCAAGTCACGGCGGAGAGCGTGGGCACCTACGTGTGTCTATGTGATGAAGTGGGCAGAGATCAGCCACCCTGTCGCAGAGCAGAGTACCAGCTGACCCTTGACAACCCCAGCATGGGGGGGAACGTGGCCATTGCAGGTGGCCGACACTTCCTGGCCTCGCACATCATTTTTTTCGTTGTAGGTTTTGTATTGGGTGGCATCCTGTTGTTTATAATTTACAAACGGCAAGGCGGCATGAGAGGGGGCGGGCACTCATCATCCACATTGGAAAAGGGGCGGGACTTGCTTGCTTCTACAGACACACCACAGTCTCCAAGCAGTGCCAGTCTGTTGTCAGAGGCAGTTCCACTAACCGAGAAAAGGAATGGGACACTGAACGGTCACGGACACAATATGCACCCGGGCGGGCTCAATGGCAGGCATATTTATGCCAACTCCAGTGGACTAAAACTGCAGGAATCAGCTGTGAACCTGGCAGAGGAGCTGGATGGTAGAGAAAGGGCGGGACCAGACGGGGAGGAGGAGGAATTGGGGTATGGACTAAGTGAGATGGAGGAGGAGTTTTCTAAGATGCCTTGTCTAAGAGGAGCACCTCTGGCACAGTGTGAAGAAAGCTCTATCTGAAGTCCAGCACACATGTGATTTTTGAGACTAAACTCTGTGAAAGGTTCACAAACACAGATGGAGGGCTGGAGGAGAAGAGGAAAGCAGACAATCCAAGAAACTGATACACATTCCAAATATACGATTAACATACGCAGTCGCACAAAGAAGCACACAAACAAATAAACTGAATTTGCTGGAGGCTCCTCTACTACTCCATTACATCACCGTCCAGTCCATTCACTCCTGTGTACATGCTGTGTAGATCCATTTCTATCCTAGTGTTTCTGCATGTATTTGATCAGACGAATGGGCACTTTTGTGTACCATCCTCAAAGCCATGCGCACCCACATGGAAATACACAGTCTGTGCATCTGTGTATGTGCAGTTCTGTAGTTGCTCAGTCTGTTTCCTCTTTGAGGATTCAAAGTCCAAAAGGTCTTTCAAAGGGGAATGACCCGTCCACAGCCCAGAGCAGCAAAAAGTCAGGAAGAATCTGCTCATTCTGGGCCCATTACTGAAATAAAATAATCTGATTTGTCACCAAAAAGGGCTTTCTAGCACAAAACCCCTCTGTGATTGATGCTTCACAGCGGCAAATATTGAATGAATGATGGAGATACTGTAAACGTGATTTTTGCCTCACATATAAAGTGGTTTGAGTACTGCTAATGAAGGTACTGTGGCCTATGGCAGCGCTGGATTGTGGAGTCCCTACCAGAGAAAGGGGCACAAAGGGGCCCTCAGAGCATACAGGAGGAGCTGACTCCCTGGCCCCTTTGGTGTAGGATATATGACAAAAATGACTGAAATAGACCACCATAGAGTGTGCCAAGGGGCCTCATGGGGCCATGATTCGGTCCTGACCTATAGTGCCCAATTTTGAATGAAGAGAGAAAATGAGTAACAAAACCAGTTAGCAAATTCTTCTGTAGGAGAGAGCATGTCAGACCTGTGAACTGATATTAGATTGGACTGTACTTGACCACTGCAATATAAGTTAGTCACATTCAGAGCAAGGGAGTTCTTCTTCTCTGAAATGGGGCTGGCAGTGTTTTGTGGTTACAAGTAGCAATCAAACCACTTCCATCTGTATAGGGACCAGATGTAGCATGTTCTGTTCATAATATTCTGCACAGACAAAGGACCACAAGATGATGGATGTCGCTTTATTGTTTAGCATGGATGCTTATTGAAATCGTCAAAATGGAAATGAAGAGTGAAGGATTTATTATTGATACATAATTATTGATTGTTTTGAGTTTCCCTTTAAGGACAGAGAATGTGCCTCATTTGAAGGTATATTTATTCCTAGTAAAGTGCATGATACAAAGTAGCCATGAATAAAGAGCTAAAGATTTGTAATGCAATGATCATGGGCTACAGGTTAACCTAAAGCACTCCTAATACAGAGAGTGTTCTATTTATATGCAGCCACAATGATGTCTGTTCCAGGAGTATGTAAATATATGTGAATATAAAAGAAAATATGAGTAAGATCTTTAAAAATATGTTTTTTATTCTGTCTTTTCACCACTTGTTGGGTGGGGTCGGGGGGATGAGTTGGGTTCTTCCTAAGTGTCAAACAGTCCCTCTGCCAGCCTAAATGTTGGACCACATTTAAATGCCATTTCCTGCCTTTTCCCATTAGAATAACTTGGATCTACTCACATTCTCCATTTATTTATTTGGCAGTTTCTTTTTAAATAATTGTAACATTGTCAAAGTGAAAGTAACACTCTGGATTATGTACAATATATCTTGTCTTCTAAATCTCTTTGTCAGCACTCAATAAATTAATGATAACAGGTACATTCAACTCCATAAACTCATTTACAAAATCCTGATCTTCTTTTGACTTTATAGTGATAGTTTAAAATAAACCTCCAACCCTCTCAATGTACCATAGTGAATCTGCTGTAGTTAAACTTGTCCACATGGTTGTATGTTAATATTATTGCAAATAACTGATCATTTAGTGTTACATGCTCTTTGTTTTTTCTGAATAAAGAATTGTTAATTAATGTACAGATATGTTGTATTCTAATTTTCTATTTTTATAATTTATATATAATGAAGATAAATGTACTTTGTGTTTCAAATGTTAATGAAGGTGTTTGTGTGAATGGCTCTATGTGTGAATGTCTTGTGATGCTCTTTGGAATAAAATAAAAACTACCTCTCAAAACAGTGTTTTTAACCCTTTAATGCATGACTTATTATATCACAAATTAATATATTTTTTAATGTTTGTTTTTATTTTTAAACAAGTGAAAAATCATGCCAATAACTTTTTTTTTAATATATTTTATTTTGAGGGAGTTACATATCTGTGCTCTGTAGTGGACTCCATGCATCAACGGTATAAAAAGTGATTCAATAGAACTCACTGACTGGTCTGGAAAAAAAAAAGTTCTTAAAACATTTACTACGAGCAAATTGTATGAATTCACATAAGAAGGCTAAAGAGGTCCGTCTAACGTTTTTCTTCAAAATTAACATTTTTATCAGACACAAACACATATGTTTCTATATAAGTACTGTACTTCTGAATGGGCTGAGGCTGGGATTTAGCTGGTTTGAAGTGAAAGTATTTGATGAAAGTATACTATGTTGATGAAAGTATACTATGTGCAGAGAGCATTCACTTAATATTGTTATCTCATTTTTGACAAATGTGGCTTAGAGGCTTTTGCATCGGATGTCTTGGAACAATAAATAACAACAATAGAGAGGACATTTGAAAAAATGTTATGTCTCATAAATCAAAACAATTTATTTATTTAATTTAAAAATGCCAACTTTTATTTAAAACAATTAAAGCCAGTATCATACATGAGCACAAATATACACACACAATCACACACACCCTCCCACCACACACTCGAACGCAATCATGCACACATATCCCTGCTGCACTTATACAGTAGCCTACATGCCTACATTTTTACATGACCTAATAAATAAATATAGACTGCAAACATTGACATAAATAAAAAAATCTGAAGACTATTTAATATTTCTGTTTAATAAAACTATAAAAAGTCTTAAAAATCTTCTTAAAGTCCATTTTATAGTTGTTTATCGACCCCCAGGACCACTAGGTAACTTCGTGGAAGAATTAGATGTGCTGCTCTAAAACTTTCCTGAGGATGGTACTCCCCTAGTTATTCTTGGAGACTTCAACATCCACCTAGATAAACCTCAGGCTGCAGACTTCCACACTCTGCTTGCCTCTTTTGATCTCAAGCGAGTATTAACTACGGCTACTCACAAATCAGGCAACCAACTGGACCTTATTTACACACGACACTGCTCCACTGATCATGTGCTCGTTACTCCACTGCACACCTTGGATCACTTCCTCCTCACTCTTAACCTCAACATGGTTCCTGACACAACACATACCCCTACACATGTCACTTTTCGACGTAACCTACGCTCACTCTCACCCTCCCGGCTATCTGCTATGGTTTCATATTTGCTTCCTTCCCCTGAACAGTTATCATCTCTTGATGTTAACCGTGCTACTGATAGTTTCTGCTCCACCCTTACGTCTTGTTTAGACACTGTCTGCCCCTTGTCTTCCAGGCCAGCTCGTACCACCTCTTCTGCCCCTTGGCTATCTGATGTTCTCCGTGAGTATCGTTCTAAGCTCAGAGCTGCAGAAAGAGTATGGCGCAAATCACAAAATCCTACTGACCTTAATGTATATCGATCACTCCTCTCTTCATTCTCTGCTAATCCCTCCACTGCTAAAAGGACATACTATCACAACAAAATTAACAATTCGCCTAACTCTCGCATGCTCTTTAAAACATTTTCCTCCCTCCTTTATCCTCCTCCTCCCCCTCCTTCATCAACTCTAACAGCTGACGACTTTGCCACATTCTTCATGAATAAAATTACAAACCTCAGTGCACAATTTGCCACACCACAAACTGTCAAACACATCTTACCAGCAAACATACACTCGTTTTCATCCTTCTCTCCACTCTCTGAGGCAGAAGTCTCTAAACTCATCCTTTCCAATCATCCTACTACTTGTCCGCTTGATCCTATTCCATCTCATCTCCTTCAAGCCATTTCTCCTGCCGTTGTACCTGCACTCACTCACATCGTTAACACATCCCTTCACACTGGTGTTTTTCCCTCAACATTTAAACAGGCTCGTATAACCCCACTTCTTAAGAAACCCACTCTTAACCCAACTCTTTTAGAGAACTACAGACCGGTTTCCCTTCTACCTTTCATTGCAAAAACACTTGAACGAGTTGTGTTCAACCAAGTCTCAGCCTTTCTCACACAGAACAACCTCCTGGACAGCAACCAATCTGGCTTCAGAAGTGGACATTCGACCGAGACTGCCTTGCTTTCAGTTGTTGAAGCCCTAAGACTGGCAAGAGCGGCTTCCAAATCTTCTATACTTATTTTGCTGGATCTGTCTGCTGCTTTTGATACGGTGAACCACCAGATTCTCCTGTCAACCCTATTGGAAAATGGCATCTCAGGAACCGCACGCCAGTGGTTTGAGTCTTACCTCTCAGATAGGTCCTTCAAGGTATCTTGGAGAGGTGAGGTGTCCAAGTCGCAACATCTAGCTACTGGGGTGCCTCAGGGCTCAGTACTTGGACCACTTCTCTTCTCTGTCTACATGGCATCACTAGGTTCTGTCATTCAGAAACATGGCTTTTCATATCACTGCTATGCTGATGACACTCAACTCTACCTCTCATTCCATCCTGATGATCCGACGATAGCTGCTCGCATCTCAGCATGTCTAACAGACATTTCTTGTTGGATGACGGACCATCACCTTCAACTCAACCTGGCTAAGACAGAACTGCTTGTGGTTTCAACAAACCCATCACTTTATCAAAATTTCACCATCCAGTTAGGCTCATCAACCATAACTCCTTCAAAAACAGCTAGAAACCTTGGAGTTGTGATTGATGATAAGCTGAATTTCTCAGACCACATTGCTAAAACTGCCCGGTCCTGCAGATTTGCTTTATACAACATTAGGAAGATCAGGCCCTTTCTTTCAGAACATGCAACACAACTCCTTGTTCAAGCTCTTGTTCTATCCAGGCTGGACTATTGCAATGCTCTCTTGGCAGGTCTTCCAGCCACTTCTATCAAACCTCTACAATTAATCCAAAATGCCGCTGCAAGATTAATCTTTAATGAACCGAAAAGAACGCATGTCACACCTCTGTTCATCAATTTGCACTGGCTACCAGTAGCTGCTCGCATTAAATTCAAGGCATTAATGTTTGCCTACAAAACCACCACTGGCTCTGCACCCATTTACCTAAATTCATTACTTCAGAGTTATGTGCCCTCTAGAAGCTTGCGTTCTGCAAGTGAACGGCGTATTATTGTGCCATCTAAAAGAGGCACAAAATCACTTTCACAGACTTTTTCATTAACTGTTCCCTCCTGGTGGAATGACCTGCCCAAATCAATCCGAGCAGCTGAGTCCTTAACCATCTTCAAGAAACGACTAAAAACACATCTGTTCCACCTTTATTTGACCCTCTAACTCTAGCACTTTCTATTCTATTTAAATCTACTTTATATATTTATCTTCTTTTTTTATAAAAA